GAGAGAGAGAGAGAGAGAGAGAGAGAGAGAGAGAGGAGAGAGAGAGAGAGAGAGAGAGAGAGAGAGAGAGAGAGAGAGAGAGAGAGAGAGAGAGAGAGAGAGAGAGAGAGAGAGAGAGAGAGGATGTGTGTGTGTGTGGGTGGGTGTGTGAGAGAGAGAGGGTGTGTGTGTGTGAGGGTGTGAGAGAGAGAGAGAGAGAGAGAGAGAGAGAGAGAGAGAGAGAGAGAGAGAGAGAGAGAGAGAGGTGTGGGTGTGTTTGGGTGTGTGTGGGTGTGAGAGAGAGAGGGTGTGTGTGTGCGTGTGTGGGTGTGTGTGTGTGTGTGAGTGGGTGTGAGTAAAGGTAAGGGTGTGTGATGTTAATTTTAATAAATATTAAATTTAGATGCTTACACAGTACTCGTATCTGTAGTAATTATCAATAGAAATGATTTCAGCGCTAGTAAATACATATAGAGCTCAATGGCGCAACATTAATCAATACGAGCATGTTTGTAAAATATACATTTCACAATTAAATAATGACAATATATCAATCATTTATCAATAAAACTAATTTGAACATTGTACATTGGTTCCTTCAACATTTTTACATTTTTTTATCGTGTTTCTCTCCCGTCTGATACCTCTTTATGAAACTTTGTCAAATATACTAAGTAGTTTGGGGTATGGTAATGTATTTCCGAATTTAGTATAGTCCCGGCAGCCATGATGAGGTGAAGAGCGCAGCCTGGAAGTTTGATAGTATATAATAGATAAATGAGATAAGTAAAATTTATGTAACTGATAAATGAGATGAATTGAATCTATATAACTGATAAATGAGATGAGTTAAATCTATATAATAGATAAATGAGATGAGTTAAATGTATATAATAGATAAATGAGATGAGTTAAATATATATAACTGATAAATGAGATGAGTTAAATCTATATAATAGATAAATGAGATGAGTAAAATGTATATAATAGATAAATAAGATGAGTTAAATCTATATAACTGATAAATGAGATGAGTTAAATCTATATAATAGATAAATGAGATGAGTTAAATATATATAACTGATAAATGAGATGAGTTAAATCTATATAATAGATAAATGAGATGAGTTAAATGTATATAATAGATAAATGAGATGAGTTAAATCTATATAGCTGATAAATGAGATGAGTTAAATCTATATAATAGATAAATGAGATGAGTTAAATGTATATAATAGATAAATGAGATGAGTAAAATGTATATAATAGATAAATAAGATGAGTTAAATCTATATAACTGATAAATGAGATGAGTTAAATCTATATAATAGACAAATGAGATGAGTTAAATCTATATAACTGATAAATGAGATGAGTTAAATCTATATAATAGATAAATGAGATGAGTTAAATGTATATAATAGATAAATGAGATGAGTTAAATCTATATAGCTGATAAATGAGATGAGTTAAATGTATATAATAGATAAATGAGATGAGTTAAATGTATATAATAGATAAATGAGATGAGTAAAATGTATATAATAGATAAATAAGATGAGTTAAATCTATATAACTGATAAATGAGATGAGTTAAATCTATATAATAGATAAATGAGATGAGTTAAATGTATATAATAGATAAATGAGATGAGTTAAATCTATATAACTGATAAATGAGATGAGTTAAATCTATATAATAGATAAATGAGATGAGTTAAATGTATATAATAGATAAATGGGATGATTTAAATGTATATAATAGATAAATGAGATGAGTTAAATGTATATAATAGATAAATGAGATTAGTTAAATCTATATAATAGATAAATGAGATGAATTAAATGTATATAATAGATAAATGAGATGAGTTAAATCTATGTAACTGATAAATGAGATGAGTAAAATGTATATAATAGATAAATAAGATGAGTTGAATCTATATAACTGATAAATGAGATGAGTTAAATGTATATAATAGATAAATGAGATGAGTTAAATCTATATAACTGATAAATGAGATGAGTTAAATCTATATAATAGATAAATGAGATGAGTTAAATGTATATAATAGATAAATGAGATGAGTAAAATCTATATAATATATAAATGAGATGAGTAAAACATATAGTAGATGAATAATCAAAACCTTTACACGAATAAAACAGAATGTTTGACAGATGAATATTTGGAATTATCTCCCTTCGACCGTTATGCAATCCCTTATTTTATGTTGTCTCATTGTCTGTCGGCTGGACGCTTATTTATGTTGTCTCATTGTCTGTCGGCTGGACGTTATTTTTATGTTGTCTCATTGTCTGTCGGCTGGACGTTATTTTTATGTTGTCTCATTGTCTGTCGGCTGGACGTTATTTTTATGTTGTCTCATTGTCTGTCGGCTGGACGCTTATTTATGTTGTCTCATTGTCTGTCGGCTGGACGTTATTTTTATGTTGTCTTATTGTCTGTCGGCTGGACGTTATTTTTTGTTGTCTCATTGTCTGTCGACTGGACGTTATTTTTATGTTGTCTCATTGTCTGTCGGCTGGACGTTATTTTTATGTTGTCTCATTGTCTGTCGGCTGGACGTTACTTTATGTTGTCTCATTGTCTGTCGGCTGGACGATATATTTTGTTGTCTCATGGTCTGTCGGCTGGACGTTATTTTTATGTTGTCTCATTGTCTGTCGGCTGGACGTTATTTTTATGTTGTCTTATTGTCTGTCGGCTGGACGTTATTTTTTGTTGTCTCATTGTCTGTCGGCTGGACGTTTATTTTATGTTGTCACATTGTTTGTCGACTTGACGTTTATTTTATGTTGTCTCATTGTCTGTCGGCTGGACGTTATTTTTATGTTGTCTCATTGTCTGTCGGCTGGACGTTTTTTTTTAATGTCGTCTCATTGTCTGTCGGCTGGAGGTTATTTTTATGTTGTCTCATTGTCTGTCGGCTGGACGTTTATTTTATGTTGTCTCATTGTCTGTCGGCTGGACGTTATTTTTATATTGTCTCATTGTCTGTTGGCTGGACGTTATTTTTATGTTGTCTCATTGTCTGTCGGCTGGACGTTATTTTTATGTTGTCTCATTGTCTGTCGGCTGGACGTTTATTTTATGTTGTCTCATTGTCTGTCGGCTGGACGTTATTTTTATATTGTCTCATTGTCTGTTGGCTGGACGTTTATTTTATGTTGTCTCATTGTCTGTCGGCTGGACGTTATTTTTATATTGTCTCATTGTCTGTCGGCTGGACGTTATTTTTATGTTGTCTCATTGTCTGTCGGCTGGACGTTATTTTTATGTTGTCTCATTGTCTGTCGGCTAGTTGTTATTTTTATGTTGTCTCATTGTCTGTCGGCTGGACGTTTATTTTGTGTTGTCTCATTGTCTGTCGGCTGGACGTTTATTTTATGTTGTCTCATTGTCTGTCGACTGGACGTTATTTTTATGTTGTCTCATTGTCTGTCGACTGGACGTTATTTTTATGTTGTCTCATTGTCTGTCGGCTAGTTGTTATTTTTATGTTGTCTCATTGTCTGTTGGCTGGACGTTATTTTTATGTTGTCTCATTGTCTGTCGGTTGGACGTTATTTTTATGTTGTCTCATTGTCTGTCGGCTGGACGTTATTTTTATGTTGTCTTATTGTCTGTCGGCTGGACGTTATTTTTATGTTCATTGTCTGTCGGCTGGACGTTATTTTTATGTTGTCTCATTGTCTGTCGGCTGGACGTTATTTTTATGTTGTCTCATATATTTTGTTGTCTGTCTGGCTGGACGTTATTTTTATGTTGTCTCATTGTCTGTCGGCTGGACGTTATTTTTATGTTGTCTTATTGTCTGTCGGCTGTTTATTTTATGTCTCATTGTCTGTCGGCTGGACGATATATTTTGTTGTCTCATGGTCTGTCGGCTGGACGTTATTTTTATATTGTATTATTGTCTGTCGGCTGGACGTTATTTTTATGTTGTCTTATTGTCTGTCGGCTGGACGTTATTTTTATATTGTCTCATTGTCTGTTGGCTGGACGTTTATTTTATGTTGTCTCATTGTCTGTCGGCTGGACGTTATTTTTATTTTGTCTCATTGTCTGTCGGCTGGACGTTATTTTTATGTTGTCTCATTGTCTGTCGGCTGGACGTTATTTTTATGTTGTCTCATTGTCTGTCGGCTGGACGTTATTTTTATGTTGTCTCATTGTCTGTCGGCTGGACGTTATTTTTATGTTGTCTCATTGTCTGTCGGCTGGACGTTATTTTTATGTTGTCTCATTGTCTGTCGACTGGACGTTATTTTTATGTTGTCTCATTGTCTGTCGGCTGGACGTTATTTTTATGTTGTCTCATTGTCTGTCGGCTGGACGTTATTTTATGTTGTCTCATTGTCTGTCGGCTGGACGTTTATTTTATGTTGTCTCATTGTCTGTCGGCTGGACGATATTTTATGTTGTCTCATTGTCTGTCGGCTGGACGTTTATTTTATGTTGTCTCATTGTCTGTCGGCTGGACGTTATTTTTATGTTGTCTCATTGTCTGTCGGCTGGACGATATTTTTTGTTGTCTCATTGTCTGTCGGCTGGACGTTATTTTTATATTGTATTATTGATCGTTTCCTATCATTCAAGTGAACGAAATATTTAAGAAACATAATTTTGATAAAAAAAGATGTTCACACACATATGAATATATCACGTTAAAACCTAGAATAGCTGGGTATTTGCCTACAACAATTATCTACATTTACTAACAGCGAGCAGTGCGAAGCACTCTGGCTATAAATGTCAGGACAAACAGCTGAGGCGGCGCTCGGCAGGACCTCTGACTGGGATCGTCTCCGTTGAGGGTGTATTTATTGGGACAAGAGAACGCACTTGACTTCTATCTCATAATTTCTGATCGTCAAAGAGTAAAACTCTTCTCTATACGTTATACACTTGTTTGTATCAGGTACAATGTGTTTATCGTAGTAGCATTGTGCATGACATCTTGCTGAAGTCTTCACGAGTTATCTATCTTTACAGTCTCATTCCGCGCCGAAGGAGCATTGTGGGCTAGTCGGAATATCTCGCTGTTCTCTAACGTCTGGGTGACTTATAAGCAGCCTGAAAGATCGACATTATTCAACGGCAATTCACAGTACATCTACCGTAATCCACACTTACAATGGCTGATTTCAACATACGACTTGCTGTAGAGAGTGATTGTGACGAGATCGTTCGGTTGAGACAGGTAACATACATACAAATGATAGTATTTAGCTTTGTGTACAGGGTGATAATACAAAAATTTGACCTGAATATTATGGACCGGGTCAGGTAGCGGTGTTGCTCCGAAAACAAATTTTGTTATCGCTCTTTATTGTGAACTTCTGTATAGATCTTCCTGAAGTTCATATAAAGGTTCATTTTGGTCTCTTGTTGTACCCGTGTAATTTTGGGTCTGATCAGAAAAACAAAATGACCGACAGGAACTCATCTTGGATTTTGACTTTGAGAGTTTGTTATCGTTGTTTCTTGAGAAGTATTGGGTGGATCTTTCTTAAATTTCACAGGTAAGATCCCTTTAGCGCCTAGTTGTGCCCATGCGATTTTGGGTCGGATCAGAAAAACAAAATGGCCGACAGGAAGCCATCTTGGATTTTGACATTGAAAGTTTCTTATTGCTAATAATTGTTAAGTACTTGATAGATCTTTCCTAGTTGTATTAATTTGATTTTGGGACTGACTAGAAAAATAGAATAGCCGACAGGCACCCATCTTGGATTTTGCCTAGTATAGATTATTATTGCTATTTCATAAGAAGTACTGAATGAATATCTTTCAATTTCATATGGTTGTTCCCTTTGGCTTTCCTTGTGCTCGATTGATTTTGGGACTGATCAGATGAAACGAAATGGCTTCCAAGTGGCCATTTTTGATTTGGCAGGTAAAGATTTTCATCACTGTTTCTGCGAAGGAATGTCGAAATGTCTTATCATTAATTGCAAAAACAGAGAGGAGAAAAGAAGGGAAAAGATCCAACTTTGAAAGAGCATATAAAGATCAAACAATGGTTGGCGCCAAGATCCCAAGATCATTTCTGCGGCGCTAAGTGAATACATGAAAATACAATACAATTCAGTTTGATGATGTAAAAATACAATGATAGATGTACATTAGACAACGTGGTGGATCACTTTACCTGAAGTAACTCATACTGCACGTTTTAAATGTAGGACCTCACTCAAAGTAATCCTCATACTGACACAGAGAAAGAAAGAAAACACTTCATGTAAATACTTCAATCATGCAAGTAATTTATAAATGTAAATATTTTTTTCAGGAATTAGCAGATTACAACAAGATATCGGATAAAATGGAGATGACAGCTGAGAGTAAGTTTCCTTATCAGTATTTTAACTTTTCCAGTGATGATAGAACTTTCATAGTTTGACCAACTAGAAGGATGCTTTCTATTCACTGCTTTGAAATTCACCGATTGTCCTACTAGGACGCAAACTTCCAAAACATATTTGATTTAAAAAGGACATTATAAGTCATATATAGTAATGTAACTCGGGAACTAGACAAGATGTCCGTTATTGAAGGTATCGCATTGCCCGTATTGGCAGGTTTTACTGTCATACAATGTTCTATATACAGGAAATGAGCCACAGGATTCTCACTTTATTAAAATAATTATATCAATCATTAGCCATTTTGACAATTCTAAATGTATAGTATATGAGTGTGTTTAACATGTTATTATTTCCACAGAACTGAGGAGAGATGGTTTTGGAGACCGGAAATGTTTCCAGTGCCTAGTTGTGGAAGATATGATTGCGTCAGGTAATATATATAGTTCCGAAAGTAACATATACTGGACTTTTAGATATACACGTTTTGATGATGTCTTAACTTAAATGACAATACTTTTATAATCCATGGCAATCGTACACATCGGCAGCTTACATCGATCATTTCCCAAAAGAGTCAAACAGGGAGAACTTTCCACCTATGTGTACAATAAGGATAATTTTAATATCCATATGGTGAATTTTCTATTTCTTGGTAACAACTTCCTGCTTCAACAACCTAAAGTGTATGTATGTTGCAGCTGACTCGATATTTAGAGTTAGTTTCCAATATCACGATATTAGACAACGGACAGATAAACACACAATCTACACAGGGTTTCGGGATATTCAAGTTGATAAAGATTATACGTTAGTTCCGTGATCATCATAAAGACCTCGTTGGGAAATATTCTATTTTCTTGCGCGACATGAAATTGGACGTATTTGGTGCTGGTTGATATGTCTGGATATTCCGCTGTTGTTAACCTTGAACTCATTTGAGAACTTAACATTCGTGTACACTTATCAGATATTACGATATTTATTGAACTATGGACCTAGTAAACCTCACCATCTAGATTTTGACATTTCTTTCGATTATTTTTAGTTTTCTTCTGTCGCCTTCTAAGTTTCAAAATTAAGGCCCTTAGTATTTTAACTTTGAAAGGTTGTTATTGCTATTTCTTGAATAGTACTGTCTAGACCTTTCTCAAATTGCTAAAATAGGTTCCTGTTGGTCCGTAGTTGTGTCAAATTGATTTTGGGACTGATAAAAAAACAAAAATGGTTGACAGACTTAGATTTTGACTTCGAAAGTTTGTTATAACTATTTCTTGAGAACTACTCTATAGATCTTTCTCAGATTTTATGTAAAGGTTCATTTAGGTCCCTAGTTGTGGCCGGTTGAGTTTGGGACTGACCAGGAAAATAAAATAACCGACATGCACCCATCTTGGAACTTTTCCAGTCATTGTGCGACACCATTTTTCAGAAAAGTGGATTATAATACATGTACAGGTTTTGATGTGAACGGAAATATGATACATGGTTTTAATGTTTACTAAGTCATGGTATTTCGATGTTTATGAAGCCATAACACATGATTTTATGTTTACGAGGCCATGTCACATGATTTGATGTTTACGAGGCCATGTCACATGATTTGATGTTTACGAGGCCATGTCACATGATTTGATGTTTACAAGCGATTTGACATGATTTACATGACTTCGGTACTTTCGGCTGTGATTCCATTTCTACCGTCAACTTCTGTATATGTTTCCTAAAAACAATCTATTTTGTACTCAGTGTTTTATTACTATATAATATTGATGATTACAGCTTCAAAAGATAATGCCGTGCTGTTGGGATACGCCTTGTACTTTTATACATATTCCGCAAAGGTAGGGCGTGTTCTGTTCCTCGAGGACATCTTCGTGTCAGCAGCCCACAGGGGGCGTGGTATAGGAAGTAAACTATTCCAAGACGTTGCACAGGTAAAAGACCCTGTCTGTTATCCTTTGCTTTGATCCATAATGTATTTGTATATAATTCGGCGTTGTTAACATATTTCGTCCCGTTTCATATGCACCTATTCAGGACATACCACGTTGCGCATGCGCGGATTTCTCGCTGAAGGAGAACGATTTTTTAACTATAGATTTTGCAGCGGTTTTTCAGAAAAAATACTAATATATCGTTTTAAAACAAATGAAAATCCCAAAATGTATGTCTCTAATTAGTTAGTTTTAACATTTCTTCGTTACAAATATATTTTATTTTTTAATTTTTAGATGAACCTATTTCATAACTTCGAAATAAAGGATGTAATTAATGAAATGAATAATGAAATACAAACGATATCTCCACATAGCGACAAAGTTATAACCAAAACATAGTTCACCGTATGTGAATATTTTTGTCTTTTTAACAGATATATAAGCTTATCACTCTATACATTTCGTTCGTCTATATGATGCAATGCCATTTCAAACACACATATATATACAGTTTACGACTGACATGGAGGTGGCAAGTGAAAAGGGAATCTTATTTTCCTAACAAAAATAATATTAATGAATTAAAAGAACGTATCATAAACATTTAATTGGTCTAAAGGATAAGTATTGAGAATTTTATTGCCCCTTGCTATTTATAAATATAAGTCATGAATCTTAATGAGAAATAAATCGTATGATTTAATGAATTCGAGATTATATTAATTGTATAGAACTTCCAGTTATACTCATGTGCAATCTACAACGGCTTATTGTGAATACGAATTATGATCATCGTTACTAATGAATTATAACATTTTATTTGAATGACAATATCTAGGAATACATCTTCAGTTATACGATTATAAATATCTACCTCGTTAGATACCGTTTATAATATGATATGTGGACGGTAATTATATTCGTCTGTGATGTGAAATAACAATGTGTTAGGTCGTGTGTACCATATTTTTTGTGGGTCTCTTGGATCCTAGGTTTAAATGTTTTTGTTGCAAAAACAATTATTCCAGTAAACATACTTCTATAATTATGTACCAGTAACACAAATACTTTACCAAAAATCAGGTTAAGCTTTTCTGATTTTATGCATTAACGACATGCTGTATATGGGGAACTATTCGCCTAAGGAGTGTTTCTTCCAGGCATGAAACGTTTTTGCCCGGTGTTAAGTTCGACATGAAATACAGAAAGCATCAACTTTATTTGTTTTCGAGGACAAATATTTTTTGGTCGTCCGGTTTGGACTTGATATTTCATTTTGCATTTTGTCAACAGGTGTAACATATATTTTTCTGAGATTTGTATTCCATGTTAACATGCTTTCTCGGCATTCGATTTCGCGTTATCAATCATTAATGATAATGTAGCGAAATTAACTTATATAACCAAAATTACAGTACATATCTAAGCGTTTTTTGCGCTATATCGGCTAATGGGCAAAACGGTAAAAGTTGCCCAATACAGTGTTAATTCTACAGAAATTTAATGTATGTGTTTATGTTAGGTTGGTGTGGCCCAGGGTTGTCAGCGGATGCAGTGGGAGGCATATGCTTGGAACAAACCGTCTATAGCTTTCTACAAAAAACGGGGAGCAAAGAACATAACAGATTCTGAAAGCTTGCATTGGTTCGAAATAAACGGACCAAAATTGGAGCAACTAGCAAAGCAATCCTTTCCTGCGCATTTGAACAGAGACGTTATTGCAGATAACAGGTGATTTAAAGATAATTCTAGCACGATTCCAAAATGTAAAGGATCCTGTCGACATTTGTTTAAGTGTGAAAACGTTAATATTTGCACCTATGAGAGAAGTCCACTTTTCAGTGTCAACTTTATCTAAGGATATATATGTAGAAGTTGAAGGTAGATAGCCAAATATCTGTAATTACTCGGCATTTAGCCTGGAGTAAGGATATCGGGTACACTAGCTGTTGTTGAATTTTCACTGTAATTACAAGCATGTTTTTTTATGGATTATAAAACCTTTTTTGGTTTTTAAACAACAATTTACTTGGCAAGCGACTTATTTTTCACATATGATAACAGCAAAGATTCATGACAACACATCTGTCCGAAATGAATGGCGATTCTATCATTCCCTAAGAATGTATTCCTCGAACGTGAAGGACACATAATTCTGAGTAATGGCGCAAATCACCACTTAAAGCTCGGTTTCCATACGTTAGGCAATAGCATATAGCATCAGGACTATTCACTTGGAATTACCCATATTTTGATTCATTTGAATGACGGCATGGTTCAGAATACATCTATGTATACACATGCACTTGACTTTCAAAATCACTATGAAATGAATTTTATCGAACTTTGAAGATCATAATTAGGATAAAGAAGTATAAGTTATGCTCCCTGCGCCGAAAAATTCTACAGCTTTTGATCATCTGTACACGGAGATAATCCCGTAGATGATGACATAAACACACTCCTTCGATATCTCTGGTAAAAACACTATGTTCAACACTGATTCTTCAGATAACAATTGCCATACAAAGCTATTACAATGACGACGTAACTTTTAGTGTAGGTTTGGTCCGTGTTCATTTTCTTGAATTTCTCTTGATAATGATACGGATACACACTATGCTAATAGTATATTCTATCATTTATTTTAAAGATTATTTCATACACCAATTATTAAAATCAAACTTTATTTGCAAAAACAATAACACCACATCAACTCACTTAAACAAATGAAATAATCCGGAGAGCGCCATTAGAGTCATTGTGTAAACTGCAAGATAACAGGTGACACTATAGTTTGATATCAGCGTTACACGACCGCCTGTTGTGTTAGAGTGACGAATCAAACGCATCAAATGTGATGGAGTCAAATCATAACATCCTCCACCCACGTCAAATTGTATAATGATCCCATGTAGGGCCACCGGATTAAGCAATTTCGAAGATTCATCGTACACTGAGTGAGACGGAGCAGAGATTAGGATCCTTACTAGACTTTCTCCTTTAGTTTCATCTCTCTATTCAAGCTGATTAAACATGAGCCGTGTTCCTCCGGTTGTATTTTTGTCTCTATACAAGGCAACTTAAACAGTAGTATCATGCTGATTAAACACGAGCCGTGTTCCTCCGGTTGTATTTTTTCTCTATACAAGGCAACTTAAACAGTAGTATCATGCTGATTAAACACGAGCCGTGTTCCTCCGGTTGTATCTTCTCTCTATACAAGGCAATATCAACAACAGGATCACTGCGATGACTGACATGGACCCTGTAAACCGAAAGGCATTGGCCCATGTTCCAGTACCATCCTTTATGAGACCTGCCAAATGTAAAGAATGCGGATTGAAAAAAGAGGTCAGCAATATTTATCAGATCTATTATACAATAAGTAGTTGATTCAAGACCGTATTTGAATTTGGTATTAAGAGTATTGAAGCTACGCTGATGTGTTGAAGGTGTGGTGTTCATACCTACCATGAAAAAGACAAACTTAATTACAGTTATGGTATTGACAATGAAATTTGTGGTCACAAAATTATTGAAAAATTATTTTAGATGTACTTTCATGACAAGTGTAGCGCCGAGTATTTTTAGGTTTACATCCGGGGCATAAATTGTCACGTGACCGTTTATTTTCGTTTTTTTGTGGTGTCATGTGATTAGTTATCACGTGATCGTCTTGTCTTACTTTTGCTTTACCTGTAATCGGTGTGTTTGTGACGTATTGTGCATGTATTGTCAATCACCTGTCCATCATTTGTGCTGACTTGACAAGTTTGACTGACCCCTGACATGGTAGGAGACACGTTCTCCACGCTGATTTTTGGCGCCTTCTTTTCCCTTTTTTCTGTCCTGTCCTTGTGTCGGCACTTCTCAGCTACCCGAGGGCCGGTGCACACATATTTGTCCCTCTTCGCTGTGCGGCTATTAATCCGCATTATTAATCTATTTCCCTATAACCGGGTTCCCCAGCACCACATGCAGGGTAAGTGGATAATTTAATGTATTATGTTTGTAAATAGTTGCTAATAATTAAAACCTAATTATAATGCTTGAGTAAAGTTAATACTTTAGCTCTAGAGTCATATAAACTTATTTTTGATACTTATAAAATAACAGCTAAAAGTAGTCGTTATTTCCTAAATATTTCTTGATTATAGTCTAATATTAGCTATGAGCCTAATATCATTCGAAATGTCAGTGTAATTATCTTTATTCGTAACCTTTCCCATGCTTGTCAGTTCGTATATAAAGTCGGTGGAAATTTCGTCAAGTATCGTCTTTATAGTAATGTGTATTTGAATGAAGGTTATGTGCGTTCATGTGTGATTTGTACTTGTATGTTATTTTAAATATATTTTACAGGGATTTTAATTCCCGGATAAATAAATAAATACCTCCACGAAACACACGGGCTTGTAGTTGTCGTGTCGCTCCTGGCGAAAGAACCCTGGATGAATGTTACACAAGCATCATATGCTACTAAGATCAACTACAGCTTAATATAAAAAGAGATCCAAGAGGAGTATCGGAGCCCATTAATGTTTGATCTTTACTTGTTCTTTGAAAAGTAGATTTTTCCCTTTTCTTCTTTCCACTTGTTTGCTCAGACAATATAAAATTTGTGAAGGTTTATTCAGAAAAAATAATGACCATTAATTGTCGAATCAATATAATTGTCGTCAGTTCACTACCCTTTTACCGGGGTTCGATTCCCAGAACGCACGTGTAAAGATATGAAGTCACCTGCTCGTTCACGTGGGATTTACCATGGTACTCCATTTTCCTCCCATCCGGGCCAAAATAAGTGATTAATATAAGCGTAAAGCTTGCTTCGCATTTGCTATAAAATAAGTTGTATTTCATTTTATTTGCCTGACCTGCTTCAAAATCAAAAAGGGACCAATACGAACCTATACAAAAAATTAGATTCATCCAGTACTTCTCCAGAAATAGCGGTAACAATTTTAGTGACAAAAACCAAGATGCCACATGTCGTACATTTTACTTTCCGATCAGTCCCAAAATGTATGCATCTAGCAAAGGACTTGAACCTACCTATGAGCTTTGAGAATTATTCATCAAATATTTCTCTACAAAAAAACCAAGATGGCCGCCTGTCATCCAGTTTTTTTTCAATCGATCAGTCCCAAAATGGATTACTGTATGCACTACTAGGATATAAAGGGAACTTGAAACTCTTGAACTTGAGAATGATCAATCGTTTGTTTCTCCAGAAGTCATGATAGATATGACTGTCAATAGCCAAGGTGACTTTGTTTTCAAATAAATTCTTAAACGGACTACAAAGAACAAGGGATTAAATGGAATCTACAGATGAAATTTGGGAATGATCCATGGGGGGCCACTTCAACTTGCATTAATCACTCAAAGTCTTACTGTGGGAGTGCCCGGGGAAAACCCACGTGGGCAGAAAGTGTCTCCATTCCTTTTCACGTCCTTTCCTGGACGACTAAACTCCGACGCCCGGATGAAATACGAGTGCGTTAACACTGCCATTCGAACACCTCATGGTCTACAAAGTTTGGATATCCTGTCAGGATTTACGATTCAATAACGAGGTTTTCCACAAATCCAGATATTCTGGCTGGTTCTAGGACTAAACAATTTTTAATCCAAACCCGGATTTCCTTGCTGGATTTAAAATTCAGATTATCAGTTATCTTTTATTAAAACGAAGTATGTAAATGAATACCTGATGCCCAAGGGTTGATTAGCATGGCAATGGAAGCCGATAAGCAGATAAATCCCCAAGCACTTGGCAACACTTTCAGGCCAACTTTATCAACAAGTACTACCACATCGGTTCCGTTGTATCCTCCAGTAAAACAACCATAAGATGCCATAAATAGGGAAATACTTAGCAGAGATTGAAAAAATGACGTCAGGATCACTCCGACAGTAGAAACAGCAACACACGTGGTGAAGATAATGTGATGGTGTTTTGGATTTGGGAATATATCCATTAATACACCGAATGCTATTCGTCCTATTAGGTCTGTTGCTCCAAATATTGATAAAATCCGTGCCCCATCCTCACCCGATAATCCTAGCTCATCAGCATATGGAGGAACTATGTTAAATAAACTATGGTAGCTAATCATTGCAAAAAATATGACTGCGAAAAAAACAATGAAAACAGGGCTTAGAAAAAGTTTCCAATTAATTTCATGTAGAAAATTGTTCTTCTTGGCTATAACATTAACACTCTCTTTGGAGAGGTGCAAGTCGCTTTCGGTCTGGTCGTCAGGATGGAGCTTACTCGGGTTCACTAGACCACTGTTAGGATGGTGTGGGGATACGGTCGTGTTTTCGATGCTGCTGCCTTTACCATTATCTGCAGATTCACCACGAGGTATGAGCGAATCTAATTCCATTATATTATCTTCTTGGATGCAGATATCATGTGTTTTCCTCAGGGGATAGTTAGTAAAAGGACGGAGAAGCATGGCAAAAACACAAATATTACTCATCATTCCTGCGTGTATAATCATGGCGCCTTCAAGTCCGTACTGATTGATGAAGTACCGGATGAGGTAAGGCAAAGTCATGGACCCAAATCCGCCACCAGATAGGGCAAATCCTGTTGCGAATGAACGGTATTTCGCGAAGTAATTGGCTACCATAACCATTGTTGATGAAAAGCATAAACTATATCCGATACCTGTAGCGTGAAAAAAATGTTATGACCAACAATTACAACGCACATTTTGATAATTAAATAGTTTTACTATAGCTCATGGCGCCGTTATTTTTTAACTGTCAAAAATCCCCATTAAAGTAATAAAATATAACAATTACTGTACTAAAAACCTTAATACTAAAACATAACATTTACTATACTAAAAATAACAACCTTTACTGTACTAAAAATAACAACCTGTACTGTACTCCAAAATAACAAAATTTACTAAGAAACCTTAAAACTAAAAATAATCACAACCTTTACTGTACAAATAAACCTTAATACTAAACATCACGACCTTTACTGTACTCCAAAATAACAAAATTTACTAAGAAACCTTAAAACTAAAAATAATCACAACCTTTACTGTACAAATAAACCTTAATACTAAACATCACGACCTTTACTGTACTCCAAAATAACGACCTTTACTGTACTCCAAAATAACAAAATTTACTAAGAAACCTTAAAACTAAAAATAATCACAACCTTTACTGTACAAATAAACCTTAATACTAAACATCACGACCTTTACTGTACTCCAAAATAACGACCTTTACTGTACTAAAAAGCATTAATATCAAAAACCTTTACTGTACTAACAAAATCTTAAAACTAAAAAATAATGACGTTTACTGTACTCCAAAATAACGACATTTACTGTACTAATAGACCTTAACACTAAACAAATAACGACCTTTACTGTACTAAAAGAAACTTTACTGTACTCATAAACCTTTATACTAATAATTAACAACCTTTACTGTACGAAAAGAAAACCATTTGCTTTACTAACAAACCTTAATATTAAAAAATAATGACCTGTAAAGTACTCAAAAATAACAACCTTTACTGTACTCAAAAATAACAACCTTTACTGTACTCAATGGTTTGTTCAGTTGCAGAGATTTGTCATATTCTAACTACAGTTTATGTACAAAAAAGCAAGTACTACATGTACATACCTGTTATAAGACCATAAGTGAAATACAACACGGTGACAGAGGGCGCTTGTGATGACAATATCAGGCCGCAGCTGGTAATTATCCCGCCAGTAAATATCACCACTCTATGAGTAAATCTGGTACTCAAAGCATTACTAAGAGGAGCTGGAGAACAGACAACATACATTTAATTGTAATACTGTTAGTGTCCTGGTACTGCGAATATTACTAACAGTTGAAAAACAGATACCCCACCAATAAAGATATAGTACCACTATGTGTGTGAACCTGGCAATTCGAACAGCAGCTGAAAAAAATTTCTCAGTATGTCTGGTAATGACAGTATGACCTCGACGATGACAGGAAAGTCTGCAAATAAAAATAAATTCACAGACCTTTTACGCTTTATAAAGAACACGTGTTGCATATAATGGTACCCAAATGCCCAGTTACGTTACGGATGCGCATGCATGAACATAAACACACATTTAAGTCCGGGAGCTAGAAGGGTCCGTCGTGCATCCCCCCCCCACCTTCCACCCACACAAACCTCCGAATCAATGTTTTTCTTAAGCCCCATGACGCCCTGATCACGAAAATAAATGTTAACATTGCGTAAGTTGGGAAGAACTTCCGGTTATGACGTCATCAAGATGTCCGCCATAGTAAAATTTACCCAAAATGTGAAAAAACTCATAAAATCCTTATTTTTCGATCAAATTTAACAAATGAGGTGTCAAAATGACCGTAATAGAATAACAAAGAGATCTGTTAAAAAAACAAACAGCTATGAATAAATTAATTTCAACAAAAATATAGATGTTACATAATTGTCATAGTTTTTTTGGGAGTCAAATTTCTTACATGCCTGTTTTTCAAACTCCATTCAATCAACATAAAACACAGATTCATGACAATTTCCCGGAGTAGTCAATCACAACTTCATGAAGACGGACGCCATCATATAGCCTAAAGGAAATACAATCTTAGTTTTCTTATTTCATTTGGGTAGAATATAATATAAATTTTGGTGCACCGTATGCGACACACCTCGAATATTAATTTCTCATCAGCGATGCTCAAAAGCGAAATGTTTGTAAAGCCAAATACATGTAAATGAGATTGGAGCATGTTTGCCAAAATGCCATAATACGAAGTCAAAAGCAAGTGTAGGATAGCATTTTTGCATGATAAAGATCAAGCATATAGTGATTGGTTTTAATACATACAAAGACGGTAATGCAAGGTTCATCTGATACCCAGGATCCCCCAAAAGATGATGGCCCGCCGTCAAAGAGAAGGCGTGGTGAAAATTGTAAAGCATCAACGTCCGATATGAAAACAAGATGTGTCATCCATATTCAAGGATTAGAATATGGACAACGGCAGTTATTCGTGAACATGAAAAATGGCAACAAAACATTGGACAAGATAAAAGAAGTACGATCCCGAAGAGAATCACCATTAATCTTAATCGCTTTTAGGTTCATCCAGACACACCAGAAGCAACATGTTCATCTAGAACAAGTCGGCGATCTTCAAAGGACAGTGATACCACTATCTTCAAGCCTAATTGTATATTCTGTAACTTTGAAATCAAGGTGAAGGGTAACTGGACAAGTGAAGGAACCACGAAGTTTGATGGTTGGAGAAGAGTTCTAGAAGTAGCAGCGCAGAAATGCGATGAAAAACTCTTGACTAGAATTAGAGGACATGATTTGTTTGCATGCGAGGCGCAATTTCACAAGAGCAGTAGAGCAAAATACATTACAGACCCAAAGCAATGGAGAAGTACTGATGACGAGAAGAGGACAGAGCAGGAAAAGTTTGAACTGACACATAGGACTGCGTATCAGAATGTGTGTAATAAGATAAACAAAGATGTGATATGTGACAAAAAGATTGGTACAATGTCTGAGCTTGTTCAGGTCTATATTCCTCGATTCTGTAAATTTTCGCCCGATCCTGTAAATAATTGAACCCCAGTTAGAGCAATACAATGGCCCCTATTGTCACTTACTTCAAACCACATCCAATCATCATATTGATCATTTTAAAGCTTTTCCAGATTAAGAATAATATTGTCTACTGTTATCGTTTATAAGATTATGTTCCGAAGCAATTAATTTGGAGTAAAATTTCGCAGAACGTACGAAAATGCTCGGAATAAAAAAAAACGTTACGCAAATTGTATCGACAGAAATTTCCGCATTTAAAACTCGATCAAAATACATTGTCATTTCAAAAACTTTATCATTTTCTACTTCCACTATAATCTTATCAAGTACAATAAGATATCGGGATGCTTTGACTAAATACTTGATATGTTGTGTCACTACGCAATATACCGAAATACCGCGAGAGAAAATACTTAACATCCACAAAGCTATATATCCAATTATCGCATTTTAACGCAATTTTAAGGCAGACCTTTTTGTGGTCCAAATAATATTAGAATTACCACGGTATCTGTTTTCCTGTTACATACAATTGCCCAGGTACCATGAGGAATCTACCGGCTACTCATCCGTCAAAACAGGTGTCCCCTCGCACATCGTATTCAAGAAAAACGAAAATTTATCAGGCCTAAGTATGGTGTCATATGGAATAGAGGAACGGTCTAATATAAACCCGCGAATGGCATATGGAATAAAGGAACAGCCTTGTATAAAACAACTTGAATGCCATATAGAATATACAGCATGAACGATCTAGTATAAAACCTGACGATGACATCTAGAATAGATCTTCTGAGAAATTGAAACAAACTGACCTAAGAAAAGGAAAAAGAATCCGGTCAAAGACTGAATGCTGGACAGGGCTTGGTTGGAAACCTGGAATTTCTTGGCCAATTCCACATAGATTACGCCAAAAGATTTCAAACCCCCTAAAATAAGGACGCTGATTCCAAAACACCCTGAAAACAGAAAAAAAATTAATAAAACAATGGTAAAATGCACTGTCGTAGTAAATTTTCGATTGATCGAGGGAAACAATCGAATAAGGAATTTGGTTCAGGAAGTATGGAGTGTCTTTGGTATATTTACCTAAAAGTACCATCCATGCCCAACCATGGTCTACTGGATTGTTGTACTGGGAGGTTTCTGCCGATGTTCTAGATTTTTCAATTCTCTCTCCTTCCTCAAAGTGTTGAGTTTCGATATCGTCACTTTCTATCGCCCGCTCGTCGATCTCTCCCCTTGAGTCCATTGAGGCGTCTGTCTAAAGGTAGCTCTACTCGATATTCTGTCACTTCCGGCGTTACGAGGATCGATCAGCTGTCTTTCCTGTCTGCTTAGTATACTCGTTTTGATCGGTCCACCATCCTTGTCGTCGTCGTCGTAGACGTCTGTCCGACTGTCTGTAATGATGTTCGTCCGTGATACATATGTACTTACACTATGTATATATCGTTTTATTTATTTAATGCTTAGGTCTATTATATCTCAAGAACCCTAATATACATTTTACTCATTGTCAAAGTATCGTCAATGCATAATACAGTTTAATCACCATTGAGTGATATTTGGATCGATTCCAATTAATCATACCAATACTATTCCGATATGGTGGCAATGTACTGTCGAGTACAGCAGAAATATATGTGTCGGGTGCGTTCCGACAAGGCCAGGATGAATATATGATTGTACTTTATAACAATATATATTTCAAACTAACGAACTCGTCTGTTACATTCACGGATATTACAGGATTAATATAATTTGATCAGACGATTATCAAAGTTATTAATTACAACATCCGGTTTATTTCTTGCATCAATTACTTCATCGGATTCATAATTGAAATCATCTTGACAAAAGATCATGAAATTTCGAGTTAGTAATCCGAAATTTTGAGATATTTACCCCAAATTTTGAGAGATTAACCCGAAATTTTGAGATATTAACCCGAAATTTCGAGATAGCAACTCGAAATTTCGAGTTAGTAATCCGAAAGTTTATTGTTTAGTCCGCCATTGATGTTCCAGGACAACTATTTGAGATACAAATTCTGGCGCGCATCCTCACACTCAACATTGTTCTATGGATTAGGTGGGTGACGGTTGGGTGGTGGTGGTAAGTAGGAGGGAGGGGAGGGTTGATTGGTATGGCTACAAGCTCTGGCACCATAGTTCCCTCTGTTATCCAGATGGACGTGGGTGCTACTACCGTTATTGCCACTGTCGGACCTCGGACAAAATACACAAAGGCTTGTGTGACGGACTTGTGCAGGTCTACGTTTTACGTTTATTGTGCGTATTTCTGTACTTTTCTTTCTTTCTTTTTTTAATATCACTGTTAACTGTATCAATGTACGTGTGGCGATGTTCACTTTCTAACTTTTATATCGAGTAATACACAAATTAATAGGATTAAAATATTAAGTCGAAGTGATTCTTTATCTCTCGATAACCCTAGCTAAAATGAAAGTAGATCCGATTATATGTAAATACGCAACTACGTCTACAGTCCGGTTTTCAGCTTGGCACAGATATCATTTATAAGATCCCAGATTCTCACCCAACAAGCCAAAATCATCCAGGTCACGTGGTACAGTTTGATAAAATTGTCGCTCCGAAATGCATAATGTTCCGGAACCAATGTTAAGAGTAAGATTGGTCCTGGCAAGAACTTACATTTCACAGAAAAACAAACCGAGTAAATTAAGTAACCTCAGTAAGCAATGCCACCGTCGGTTATTAGTATAGATATATATATAAAAAAAAATAAGGAAAAAATGTCTAAGCTGAGAGTCGAACACCCACCTTTGAACGGTGCTGAGTTCTAATTCATAATGGTTAAAAGTCAGCGGCCAAAACTGAATTGGAATCATCCCCTCCTCTCTCTTTCCCTTAAAAGGGCGGAATGGGCAAAGTGAAGCTAAACCAGCCTGCTTCAGAGATTTATTATTTTATTTGTCATACGGTACAATACCTTTGAGATGACCCCTTAATCTGTCAACACAATCAGTGATATTTAGAGGTTTAGAATCAACATGACAGGAACTACAACAGGCCAACCTTCGCCGCAAGTGGCTCATAGATTCCTTGGAAAAACGTTGTGTCACATGAATATTCACCCTTCAGTATACTGTTCCACTGAGCTGAGACGACTTCGACCAAGAAAGATAACTCTTCATTGTTATTTTTATATAGATTCCTCAATGATCGCACTGAGCTCAATAATTCCTTTTTTTAATCACAAAAAGTTGAAAAAAAATCGTATTCAAATGATTAATGAAATTAGTACATAGATTTGGAAGGGCAATAAATAAATGATTCAATTGTGAGATTAAAAGTGACTTAATAATACATATATTTCCAGTCTTGATTAGAGATTTTAGCTTTATCAAGTTTTTGTCATTATTTAGTTCAGGAATTTCATACAAGTTAACACTAAAATCAATTTCTAATAGATAGAATTTATCCCTTCCCACTGTAAATTCAGTTCTGGTAAAAAAGTGTCTACAATATATCTTACTACCAATCCAAATTACTTAATACTAATTTTCAGACCAGAAATATTTGCAAACAAGTTAAGCTCAGTTATTGATTCACATAAAGAGTATCGAGTATCGTAAGCATACTGGGACAAAAGTATTGGAAAATCACCCATAGATATATCATTTATATTTTTGTTTTCTCTAATTCTAATTGCTAAAATGTTTGTGCATAATATGAAGATGTACAGTGTGATTGGGTCACATTGTCTACAACCGTGTTTCACTTTGGAGAAATTTGACAAATTCCCCCCCTTTATTAATAGCCGAACTAACATTTTTGAGCGAAGTTTTTACCAATTTCCTAACACCCTCCCCAAAGTGTTTTATCAATAAATTCCCATAAAACTGAATCAAATGCTTTCTCAAAGTCAATCATCAAGAGCATTCCTGGTATGTTATTTTCTTCACTAAAATTCATAATATCATAAATAAGTCTATTGTTTTCACCTATGTTACGCCCCGATAAAAAACCAGTTTGACTATTGTCTATAAGTGTATCTAGAACAGATTTTACCCTATTTGTTATAACCCCAGAAGTAATCTTGTAAACACCATTCTAAAGAGAAATTGGTCGCCAGTTTTTCAAAAATTGTCTTGGTTTATCACTCTTTGGTTTACAAGTAATAATTCCTTGTTTTTTTTTGTAACTGAAAATTCATTTGAAAAATATCCAAAATTAAGTGATCTAACAATAAAAGTGCTTAACTGTTTCCGAAAACATTTAAATACTCACCAGAGGAACAATCCAAACCTCGGCTCTTGTTATTTTTTATTTGACTAAGTGTTTTTCCAACTTCTTCTAATGTGATAGTACCTTCTAGCACTTCGGATTATACACAATTTAATTTTGGAACCTTAAAATCATCAAACACATTATCAGAAACACCATATGAATTCTCATAAAAATTTTGAACTTCATTTCAAATTGGTCAGTTATATTGTATCTTAGGGATAATTTTAGATGTGTAATTCCTATTTTCTAAACCAAAGAAATACTTTGTAGGCTTTTCTCCCTCCTCTATCCATTTTGCTTTAGATCTGACAATATTACCTTGTATTTTATATAACCTTATAGCTTCAAGTTCCTTTATCTTATTTGTAAGATCGATAGTATCAGTATTATCCCAATCCTCTAATTCCTGTATACATTTCTTTTGATAATTATCTCTACTATTTGGTGTTTTTTTAAATAAGATTAATAAGAAAGTGATTTCTCCCTGATTTTCTTCAAAAGCACCTCTAAAAACAATTGATCATTAACTGTATATTGCAATTCTGAGTCTGAAATTTCTGAAATATTAACTTAGTTATAGACAGGGAGGCAATATCTAGCTTTACTGTCATCAACACTGGTCTTAACCATTTTCAGATATTTATATCGTGTAAAAGAGAATTGTTGAATTTCCAGAGACCCTTACCTTTCTTCAATTTATTGAATTTTATAGATTTTTGGGAAGGAATGATCCAATTTATTAACAGGGTCTATGGAATCTAACCTAGCCTGTTTAATAGGATGATTCTTTCTCCAAGTAATCCTTTTTAATCTGCATGACCTCAAAAAATATCTACAAGACCATACTTTTCCATAATTTCCCTTATTTTTTCCCTAGCATTTGGATTATCAATATTTTCATAATTATTGTCATAATCAATCTCAAATTTCAATACTACATTAAAATCACCGCAAAGAACAACATTATCATTTCCAAAATCTTCAATAACTTCACTTATATTACTATAAAAATCTGGTCTATCCTGATTAGGGTCCTAAACTATAATAAGGGTTATTCTAGTACCTTCTATTGTTATATCTAAAGCTAGAAAATTACCAGTAATATCTTTCTTTTCCCTGTGTACATTAGATTCAAAATTATTATTAATCAATATCTCTACGCCCCTGGCGTTAGATTTATAGTGAGCGCAGCTAGTGCTTCATGGTATTGTATGTGGTAATTCAACTCCAACAAGCTGCCCATATGATCAACTTTATACCGAAGTGTGGCTGGAACTTCAAAACCCACCATACACTAACTGCATCACACAGTGAGAACTGTCAACCTGTTGAATGGATTAAAAATAATTTTGATCTATAAAATATCTTTGTAAGTTTACATGTGGAAATGAAATCATACTAAAAGTCTTAAATAATTCAAATGAATTTAACAAACATATACTTTAATGGTTTGAAACGCATATAAAAAATATCATACTGAAAAATTCACTTTTAACCATTCAAGATTAGAGCACATTTGTTCTCCAATGTACCTGATTTCCGCTTTAACCTTTGAGAACTTTTGTCACTTTCCGTGAACGAGAAAATACATGGCCTCTTACAAGGAAGCAGCCGAAAGGTCAGGATTTGGCGTAAAACATGTCCTGTCATCTAACAACATTAAAACTTGAAGATGTGGATGTTCTTTCAATAGAAATTTCCCAGTGAACACTTATATGACACATTGATGAGATAACTATAAGTGGTGACTTTTTATTCTAGAAAAGGGCAGTTTATGAAATGTTGCTGAATTTAAAAAGAATTTTTCAAGACAAATTCATTTAAATATATAAATTTGTATTGATTAATCTCGGCAGTGTTTACAACTTTACCATCTTTTTCTACCAAGTCAAATCAACATTGCTTAAAAAACTAAAGGTTCTAAAGATTTTTATTTGTTAATTAACAGAATGAAAACTCTCAACAGCAAAGAGAAAAGAAAACTGTGGTTGAGAACATTCTTATTTTAATTATGAAAATGGGTTAAAAATATAAACACCGCCTTTATAAATCTGACTAAAACTATATTGTCTTTCATCATATTTTGACTACAAACTCATTTCTTTTTTGAAGCAGAGATGATATATAAAATGTAGTTCTCTCTGCAATCTCTAATTTTGAAAGGGAAACTCTTGTACATTTATTTTAAGATTTTTTATCAATTTCTAGAGTCTATATATGTTGTCAAAGATGTTATTAATACATTTTCTGTTACCATAGAAACAGATAATCCTCCTCACAAATTTCAGTTTATCTGGCCCAATGCTCAGAAACCATTCAAGATAATTCAAAACTCAAAACTTTTCACACTTATTAAGCTGGTAGTATCTTTTGCTAAGGGCAAGTTCACTATTTAAATACTTTTTTCCTGTTACCATTGAAACAGATAGGCCAAATCACACAGTTCAGTTTTTTCAGACCACATCTCTAATTCCGTTCAAGGTAATTACCCGTTACTTTGAACGTGCATCAAGCTAGTATTCTAGTAGAAGTTCTCCATTTCAATACCTTGTATGGAAAAATTAAAAATAACAAACAGAAATTAAACTTGCTGTTATTATTAACATTAATACATGGTTATGTGCATTTCTTTTAAACAGCAGGATGCGGAAATAATGTCATGCTTTGGTTATCTTGTCGTCTTTTGTTTGGTTCTTTTTTGTCTGTCTTCATGTTGTGTGATTGTATGTGCATGATTATTCAACTTATAAAAATCACATTTGTGGTAAGCATTCGAAGTGTCTTAACTGTGGGGGGAAACCTGTATCCCTTCAGAGATATTGAACCCCGGATGGCTAGGTGAAAAAAAAGTGTACTACAACTGCGCCACCAAACCACCTCCTGATCATGATGATGCATTGTTTTCTAGAAGAAGAAGATGACGATATTACATGTGTATGTGCTCTATTAAAATTTTCTGAAATATAAAATAAATTAAAAAAACTGCTTCAGTACAGACATGGATCAGACAGTTCAAAGTGTGTATCTTGTTGACCAACTTGCACTCAATTTTAGGCAGTGCCTATTTCATATTATAAATTGAAATAACAGCCAAAGCCCAATGACTTCTGCACATATTTTCGTTTTCTTCCGTAAAATTGGTGTCCTGAAGACAAAATATATTATAAGATTTACTTTTCATCAATGAAACAAATCCTTCCGTTTAAAACGACCCCCTAGACCCTGACAGTTTGCACTTAAAATCGTTATGGAATCAGCTGCAAAGATTGAAGGAGAAAATCCTAGGAGTCAAAAAGGAAATCCAAACTTCGATCGTAAAGAGGTCTATGACAGTCCATGGCAAAGTGAATAAAATAGAAAGAAGGGCGACAGAAAGGGAATGAATAACAAAAATAAAAGTTACCATGCAGGTCTGAGTCAACGACAACTTGGTAACTCATTGCCCTTAAAAAAGAAGTAAGGGAAATCGTAGTAGATTCGTGAATCCCAACTCGTGCGACAAACAGGAAGTAACCGATGCAACCGGAAGTGGTACTATATATATCAGACACGGATTCATGGTTGGCAATTCCGGAAAAGTAAGAAATATCCGATAATTGTGCGATACGGTTAAGCCACGAGAAAAATTACTTAGATTTACAGAATTACTTTTAGACATAGTCCAGAGGTAATACATAGGATATACTTTCACCAAACAACTACCGAAAACAGAAAAGTAGAATCTCATTCAGAAAAAAAAAAAAAAAAAACAATCGGAACACTAATATTAAACAGAATATTAGAAGCGATATATATGTTAATTAAAATAGGCCTACCATC